TTTTTTGTGTTTGATTTAGGAATTTCTTCTATTAGTCAGTAACTAAGCCTCGGTATTTCCTTCCAAGGCACAGTACCGGTCCGGGGACCGGCAACGGGATCGCAAACCTCGGGGTCGCTCCCGCGCCTTGCTCAGCCAGTGAGCGGGAACCGGTCTGTATGTGGGATCCGAACCCTCGGGCGGGAGCGCCGCCGCGCTTCCCAAGTGGCGCACTTATCCAGTGCGCCACCGGGCCAGCCCCGAGATGTATTTCTTGTAAGCCATATGTAGTTGAGTTTTCTCTGTGCAGTATTTAGTCCATTTACATTTAATGTATTTACTGCTATATTTGGGTTTATGTCCTCTATTTATTATTTTTTTGTCTCACTTGTTATTTGTTCCTTTTCTCTTCTTTCCTGTCTCTTTTTGAAAGAATATTTAATTATTAAATTTTTTCATTGATTAGCTTTTTAGATATATATCTTTCATTTTTCTTGTCTTTAAATATTTTTTTGAGTTCTATTATTACCTTAAAGAGTACAGCATTCTTAAATTATTATATTCTATCTTAAAATTAAACTTTTTCCATTTCTTTGACAATGCAAGGACTTTATAATATTTTAATTTCATTTATCTACTTTAATCTTCTATATTTTGTTATCTAATTCTGCATATTTTAAGTTCTAAAAGCATTATTAGTATTATGTTAAAGAATCAATATTTATTCACATGTGCCAATATATTTGCCTTTTCTGGTCCTCTTCAGTCTTTCCTGCTTTTTGTTTGTTTATTTGTTTGCTCCTATATAATATTGTTTTTCTTTAGTGTTAAGAACTCCCATTAATATTCCATCTAGTACCAGTATACTAAAAGCAAATTTTTCAGTTTTTATTTGTCTGGAAACCTGTGTTTTGCTTTTAGTTTTGAATAATGATTTCACTGAATATTGAATGCTATATTGACAATTAATTTCTTTTAATAGCTTAAAGATATTATTCCATTTTCTTCTAGGTTTCATAGTTATAAATATTCATGTTGCCTCTTTGAAAATGGTGTGCCAATTTCTCTCTGGCTGCTTTTTAAATTCTCCCTTTCTTGCTTTCTCTCATTTTTATAGTTTTTTTCTTCTTAGCAGTTTTACCAGAAAATATCCAAGTGTGTTTTCCTGGTATTTCCACTGTTTGAGGTTTTTAGATCTTCAATCCATGGTTTGATATTTTTCTATCACTTTTGGAAAATTCTCAGTTAAAATCTCTTCATATATTGCTTCTTCATTCTCTTCACTGTTCTATAGGATTCCACTTATATATATTTTTGTCATTTTTATTGTCTCCCATGCATCTTTTATTTATTTTTTAACCTATGATTTAATCATTATATTTCAGAATGAGGCACTAAAAATCTGACTTGCTCATTGCTGGGATGTCAACAGAAGGGTCAGATTCTAGGGTGATTAAGTGGAGATCCAGCCATTTTATAGAAGTACTAAAAGTCAATGGTAGAGGGCCGGCCCGGTGGCGCACTGCTACAGTGCGCTGCTTGGGAGCGCGGCGGTGCTACCGCCANAAAAAGTCAATGGTAGAGAAGCAAAGTCAATAGCTTTTCTCTTGGACTGATCGATTACTCTGATAATAACTCAACAGTTTCCTGCTCTGGTGTATAATTCTGGTACAAGATTCCTGAGATCAGAGCATCATTTAGTATGCAGACTTTCATTTAGGTCTCCTGTTTTCAGTAGATTCCTCAACCAAAACTAACATCTATAAGATTGGACTTCTCCACGAAGTAACTCTTCAGTCTTAAGCCAATGTGTAGCAAGAGCAGACTCCCAGATGTATTGTCTAAAATAGAATATCCAGTGGTAAAACTGCTTCTTAAATTTCCAACCAAGTTTTCTGCCTTCCTTATTGTTTTTAATGCTTGCTTGATACTTTCAGGAGTATTTGATGGGTCCCTACCTGCAGTCTTAGACTTTTCAGTTTCCAAAATTACCTCTCACTCACTTTTCTTTGTTCTTAAGAGTTTATGGATTTAAATCTTTCCTTGTGATGTTTAGAAAAGAACTTGAGATAAATAACATAATCAGTTAATCATTTTTAATAGTAAGTACCAGGAACATTGTTCTCTATTTTATCATTCTTGCTGATTTATTCTTACTGCTTATTGTTTTGTATGATTTTTGGTGACTCTTGGTTGATAATGGAGGTAGCTCAGAGCAAATCATAAATTTGCCATGACTACCCTAATAATATATTCTTACTCTAATTTTAGGTCAGAGTGTAATTCATGTTAGTTAACACAGTGCTGATTGAATATAGAACAAAATATAAGCCTGTTTTTCCTTTAATTCTAAAATATAAAGTAGAAATAAAAATGTGAAAATATTGCTCATTCTAAACTAAAATTTACATATAGTTGTCATAGTCTGTGTAAGCCAAATATTACATTGA